CCATACCCATGGTCATGGGCTACACCAATCTCCATGACTGCGAACTGACACCATACCCATGGTCATGGGCTTCACCAATCTCCATCACTGCGAACTGACACCAGGCTAACGCGTTGGTGATGTAACGCTACTGTAATACTGTATAGCTGCGTAAAACAGTGCACTCGCTCGGGGATACGATACGGAGCCATCGCAGTCTTATGGACTCTGATGCTTTCACTCACCGTTTATTTAATGAGGTAGCAGTAACTTCGAAGCGTTTTGTTTACAGAGCATTGGAACAAAACAAAACAAAACCGCAAGATGTCTTTAAAGTTGGCCAGTTATATTCAATGTAGAATAAGCTGGGTTAATTTAAAAAACAAAAAGTAAATGGACATTTAGACGTTCTTTTCCTTCATCAGTATTTTGGTACCAGTATTTCAGGTGCATTTGTAATTGTATAGTATTTGTATTTTGAATGAATAGGTGTATCTAAGTTCTTAACGGGTCCCAAAGATGTTTTGGTGAAATGTTGGTGTGTGACTCTTGTTTCAAATCTTATCTGAGTTTGTTTGTCATGAATTCAAACTGAAAGAACTGTTGTTAAGTTTGATTATGTATGTTAAACCATAAGCCCTTCCTGCAACAGTCTGTAAAATGGCTGTCTGGGTAAATCTGTGTGAAATCCTTCAATGATAAGGATGGGTAGGGAATGAATTTGCAAATTGGAAATGACCCTCACCATGTTCCTGTCAGAAAAGACATTCTTATTCATAAACAACATGTCTATCAGCCGTATTTTGAAAATTTGTTGTTCCAATTATATTAGTAAATATAACATCATGTAGGAATATTCGTTACGAACGAAGTGCCAATGCAGTTCAAATTTTAAACTTAATTTATCGTGCACCTCAGATTTGTTCAAATGAAAGTCAATTATATCAAAAATCAACAGATAAGTAGGGTTTCCGTCGCCCATGAGTTTGTGGCATGACTGCCTACGTAATCTCTTTGTGGTCTCACAGCCCCTGAACCACATTATTTTCCCTTCTGTCCAACCCTCCCTGCACGACTAAAGCCCTAGACGACACAAGCCTACATTTCCTCAGGTTCTGAATCTCCCATCTCATTGGGTCTCCTTTTAAATTTAACTGAGATTATTTGTTACTATCAAAATTATACTGTAACATATTCAGAGACTAAGCGTTAGTCTATCTCGACGTGTGACCAGGGTCAGCTTTGTCGTGACAGCAAACACCATAACGTCATCAATTAGACCTGTACTGGTATTTAACAGACGGAGACCAATCAGCCATGTAGCTCAACTATACATACATCTATCTGAGCTGGTATTGTTGTTGCTAGATTCCTTACAAATAAACATGATATGCATGTGTAATAAAAACATGCCGCAAGTAAACAAACAAGATTAATGTATATTTTGATACTCAGAAAACGTGTAATGAATCCGTCCTTGGGTATTTTACAACTCGTGCCTGTTCCACGATCTAGTTAATCCTTATTACATCTGAAATGTCACTGCTCATGTAACCCGTACGTCAAACCAACTGAATTACTCTCTGTATCCTGTCAAGTTCAGAAAACATGAAGAGACATTTACATTCATAAAATGGTAAAATCCCAGAAAACATCTAGAGCAATGTATATCAACAGTCGTGTCATAACCAATTTGCACCCGTCACATATACTTCTTATAGATAAATGTATGATTTAAAGCGCATCCACTGGTCTCACAGAAGCAAAAGAATAAATTGAGAAAGGAGTCCAACTGAACGTCTTAGCAAGTCTAGATCTGAAAGTAAGCATTGCTTGGGACACCAAGTTGTTTTATATTTTGTAAATGAATATTTTGAAGTAAGATAACTTTATTTCGGGGACTACGTGTTACACTAGGCAAGGACGTCCACAGGTCGGTGTGTGTAGAAAACCTGGCGTCTGTTTCCCAGGACCGCTAAGGGCATGCAATGGTTCGGCTCCAATTCCAAAATGAGCCTGGTCTAATGAGTGTAATACTCATTAATTGACCATTATTGGGGTAATTATTCAATAAAGACTAGATATGTGGCTATCTTTTAACATTCTTCCATTATCGCTGACAGGCGGCTGTCCATGCCTGTTTAACGGAGAAGTACTGGTGTTGATTTCAATGGCTATATGGTGGAGTGGGGCATCTTCACTCGCCTCCAGCAGGTAGGGGGTTGTGTGGCGCGGACAGCTGGGGAGTACTGCTACGCTATCACCCAGCTTTCATCTTACGCAAGTAATGCCTCTTGTTGATCCTTTCTGAATTTGGCGGTTCTCATTTGCGATACCAGTCCGTGTAACAGTCATCAGTGAAACTTTGGGGTTTACATAAAACAATAAGTTAATTTAGTTAGCCCCTGAAAGAAAGTTGTTGCCACTGACGGGATCCATGTACACAACTTTACCAGGATTCCGACATCTGTTTTGGTCCGGTAACAATCGGTTGATATTCATTGAGGGGTGGCAAAGGCAGGTTGTATTATAAACTGCATGAACATACTGCATATATTTTTTCCTTATGTTTTATAAAAAAATAATATAAAAGCTCTCATTTCCGATAGACATACCGGATATGAAAGTATTCAGCTCTTTCTCAGAACGTCTATAAATGGCGTGTGACAAAATATTCTGTTTCTAACAAATCCCCCCCCATAACATCATATGGTCTGGGCATTAACGTTTGTCGACACACCAGTCTCTTGGTGTTGGGGGCGCGGGGGTAGCATAGAGGTTAAAGCGTTCGCTCGTCACGCCGAAGACCCGGGTTCGAGTCCCTACATGAATACAATGTGTGAAGCCCATTTCTGGTGTCCCTCGCCGTAATATTGTTAAAATATTGCTACAAGTGTCGCAAAAACATACTCATTTAGTGCAAACAGATGTAACTTTGCAAGTTTGGCCAGGCTTACTAATAGGATTGTTGCTACTATGTTCCGAGTTTAAACTTCCTGTAAGTCACTGGTATATATACAAAGCCTTTTAAGTGTGTATATAGAGGAGTACCGATAATGACAACGGCTACTGGCACGGTAGCCTCGCGTGATACACCTCCAATAGGTAAAGGTTACAGTGTATCCAAACAGTGTTGTAAACCATCATTATCTAGTTCCGTGGTCCATCAGCACAACAGGTGCTCAGTGAATTACGGAGAAATGAATCGGAACAAACTGAGATCTTTGAGAGACAAATGCTATATATCGGTGTTACATGCGTTACATCTATTTCACCTTTCTATAGATTTGTACATACTACCGTATGGTTGGATTATCTAAACTTTGCATATAATTACGATGTGCCCCACGGCAGGATGAACTTTCTTCATGAAATAAAAATATGTAACTACTATCGATTGGATCAAACAGTCTACATATAGTCATTTACACTCTTTAACAAAACTGAACATGTATATGTACATATATAAGGTTAGGGTAAAACATATTCGAAATGCGAAATATTACGGTGACATTATTTAATGCATTGTGTAATTCATTATTATTATCATAAACGTTTTTTATTGAATTTTTATTACTGCTCGCATCCGGTCTTTCTAGAGGGGTACTTGTACAATACAAGTCTAACATCGAAAAGTCCTCCTAGAGGGGTACTTGTACAATACAAGTCTAACATCGAAAAGTGGCAATCCGTTTTCACATTTATTAAGAAATTAATTAAAGATTTCTTCAATTGTTTTAAAGATATCTGTATTCTATTCAAGATATCAATAATGTTTTAAAGATATCGGAAAATAATTGAAGATATCTTTATTAATTTCTGATATACAAATAGAATTACTGATATCTCAAAATGTGCTCACCAATAAAGCAATTGCGATCATAGTGTTTAGAAATGAATTCAAGATATCTTGAAATGATTTATACATTTTGACAAATACTTTACAGATTTCTTCAATTCAATTAGAGATATCTTCAATTCGATAAACATTGTATCTTGAATTCAATTCAAGATATCTTAAAAACAATTTAAGATATCAGTAAGTTTTCAATACATTATCTCTAAGATATCTTTAATTCACTTTAAGATATCTCTAATTCAATTCAAGATATCAACAATTCTTTTCAAGGTGCCATTGATAATTATATCTTCAGTGAAGTGCTTCATAATATCCTTAATCATTTCGTGCTATCGTGAATTTTATTGCAGTTGCTATAACTATGTCCTGTCGATATATCGTCAATTCAAGATATCTTCACTTTAATTCAAGATATTTCTATTTTCATTCAAGATATCTTTAAAAGAATTTAAGATATCAGTATTTCTTAATAAATGTGAAAACGGCTTGCCATACACCAGCGGCAAGTTTCATTCAGTCTTCGTCGCTTTAACTTGGATTCATCAAAGAGATGCGCATGTAATCACATCATTGGGTGCTTAAGTTCATCGCAGTTTACTTTCTCAGCAGGTGGTTGACGATAGACCTCAGAACACTGTCTCACACAGTGAAATTACCATGTGTCATAACATCTGGGTAATGTACATCGACATGGGACGGATCACGTGTCTTGAAACCAAACACATGGCGATAAAGAAATTACTTTTCAAACTGTTTAAATTAAGCCCCGATTGTTTTGAATGGTCTCCGGTCGCGGCCGTGTATATGGCTCGAGGGGGCTGTAAATTATCAAATCGTTGACATAAAAAGCTGTTTGTTTCAGGGAGCTGAGAGATGAAACACAGGCGTCTATCGCGTCCAATCTGGATCGTGGCACGAGATGCTGCACTCTAAAGGAGGCTGAGATAAACCAAGACAGGTTTGCTGATACGGGATACTTCTCTCATCAACATCCGCAGTTCATTCTGTGAACCCGGAGATACAAGTGTTGATATCTGTGACCATATCTTTATACACAACTTGTAATGCCGCGCTGACAAGTAACCATGGCAACCAGTGATGCCAGAGCGTACCAGCGCCTGGCCGCTTGTTTAAAAACGCTTCGGGGCTCGTGGGCAGAGGTGGAGAGGTTTTGCCGAGCCAGTTTCGATGGAGTTCTGTGTTGGCCCCCCGCCCTCCCGGGCATGACTGTGAGGCAACGCTGTCCTGAATTGAAGGGATTTATTTCAAGGCGGTACGCTTACCGGACGTGTGGTCCAACCTCCACATGGGTCGGTTTTACCAAAAGTTCAGCTGCTGAGACGGAAAGTAAGATCCTGAAGCGGATTGAAAGCGACGGGGACGGACTAACGGATTACACACGTTGTATTAACTATACGATGGAGATGGCTGGCCTGGCGCCCAGATACACAGGTGTTTCAGAGATGGATGAAGTCACAGCGATGGAGATTCTTGGATATGTTCTGAAATCGTTGTCAATCTTAACATTGTTTGTGGCTGTGTGTTTATATGGGTGCTGTGTACGAGCAAAAACTCAGAGATACAAGATATTCATTCCAATGTTCTTATCCACAATGATGAAATATGTCGTCAGTTTGGTTGACGTTATCGTCTGGCGCTTTGAAACTGACTTCCAGCAGACGACAGTTTGGAGACACCCTGTTGTCTGTAAATGTGCGAATTCGGTAACACGATTCTCCGAGTTATCAGTGTACTCATGGATCGCTGTGCTTGGAGTATATTATCTCTTTGCAGTGCTGGGCGATATAATCAAAGGCAGACGGGTCATAGTGTTGTACTTAGTTGGCCTCGGAATTCCTGTCGTCTTTGCGACGGCGTGGGCCCTCACCGTGACGTTCGTCCTTTCAACTGACGTCTGCGACGACGGTCAGATTCCACATGCAACCCACTGGATAACGGATGCTCCTAAACTGGCATGCGTGTTGATAGCGTTCTGTATTTTCATCGTCTGCGTGTATGCAGCGTTTAGGGGACTGATTGATGAAGATGTGCCGGAATTTAAACTTGTTAAACAAGGAACCATTAAATGTCTCCTGTTTTTGACGTTGTGTACATCGGCAGATCTCTACCTTTTGGTGATCGTGTACAACAATGGCGGTCAGACGATTCGTGTGTCGTCTGCCGACTCGTGGATGGATTACTTCAATCTTGTTGTGGACAGTATTCCGGGGATGATAATGGCGATATTGCTCTGTTTTGTTGATAACGAAGTTCGAGTGTGTGAAAATGAGCCTCGCAAAGTGAACGTTGTGGTGGTTGAGCGAGGTCGCGAACACAATCGTTGAGTACAGACACACCCGCTATCTGACCGCGCCAGACATAGTAGGTGATAAAAGGACCACCTCTGGAACAGTACCATAACATATTCATGTATCGTCTTACACCAAGACAGATAACACCTATGTTCAAACAGGAACGCATCTCAGAGGCGGATTCAGGATTCTCAAAGCGGTACGACTAAGAGAACGTATTATCATTGGTGGAATGGCCGTATATAGTTGGATCCTTGACTGTCAGCCCCAATTCGAATTCCATGGGTACAAAGTATGACGGTTCACCGTCGTAGTATGACAGGAGCAACGCTAGAAATGGCCTCAAACCCACCATCCCGTTCACCTGTACAGATAACTTTTATTTTACAACTCCAAACGTTTTTCTCGAATCCGCAAGGCACGAAAAGAACTGATAAGGGGGTCTATGTTTCTGATAAGGTGCCTGTGATAGTGACCAAGTAATAAAGTGACCACTGTATGATAATGACTTAGAAGGTCCTTGATATGCCACGACCACACACACTCGAAACAACTTGAAGTCTGTCATCAATCAGCTTTGTGGCACGAGCGCCACATCTGGAGCAAGCAGTGTCGCATACCTTTTCATTTGAGATATTTCGTTTCGTGGCAATCTGGAATAGTCAGTTTCACATAATTTTAATTTTGATATATTTCGTTTCTTGTTTACTACACCTATGAAACAAACTGTTTTATAGGACTTTTCATTGATATATTTCGTTTCATGTAGCACTTTTTGTATAGATCGTACCTTGTCTAATTTTTCATGTTTATGTAAACGTTCTTGCGTAGCTTATATATCAGGCATAGTGTTGAGATTAGAGGATCGGTTGTGGTATGAACCGAGGCGAGGGCACGGGACCAAATGTGCATTATACGGACACCCAGTTAGCGGTAGCAGCACGTATTACCTTATGTTAACCATTTCTACTTCCTGCATATGTGTATTGGATTACTGATGTAAAACATGGGGGAGATTATTACACAGAATGTTTTTTTCTTTCATTAAAAGCTCAATACAAAGATCTGTTATCATCACTTGTTGTACATCAAGATGCACTGAAGTTGAATGTGTGTATTGTGAAGATGGTGGTTGAATCAAGTCCACTTTGTTCCCCGGGTCAGGCCTGACCGTCACAGACCATTCCTGACAATACCGGGATTGCTTGGAAGAATCAGTTGTGCTGTCGACAGTACCATGGGTGTGTGCTGTACGATGTCAATCTGAGTCCCATGTCAAGGGTTCTCTCTTGGAACGACAGTTCGTGTCAGCCATGGTATTGTTTGATATTGGAATCCCCACATTTCTGGTGTCCCCCGCCGTGATATTGCTGGGATATTGCTTAAAAAGAGGCGTAAACCATACTCGCTCACTTGAAATTGGAGTAAAACCCTAATCACTCACTTTCTACGTCGATTCGTTTAAAAAGGTGTGATGGAGTAGCTCTGTTGTCACTGTGTTCGCTCGCCACGGTCGGGTTCATTTCCCAACCTGGTTATTATGGTTACTGTATAAAGGTATTTTCTATTTCCACTCCACATTCCAGCAATATTGCTGGAAGAGTCGTAAATACCAGTTCCACTCACTTAAACCCCATGGCCATTGCTATTTATCATCATGTAGAGACGGAGCCTAGATTGGTAAATTCATTTGACTGGTTTCTATAACTGTTGACCCTTGACAATACACGTCAAGCTGTAGGCTACAGCAATACCAGTTCCCAGTACGAGGAAGGTGTCACGAACGGATATGAGGCTATTAACGAGGACGGACTGTACAGTCGATCAGAACTCTATAAAATGCTGAAAATATATTTGTGAAAAAATAATGTTTTCTCCCTCACTGCTTCTTCGTTGACGTTGCTGGAGACTTCATCTCTGTCACCTTTGGTCCTGAAAATGAATACAGCGACCAGTCACTGACAGTCAGATGCTGATGTCTGATAAATATTTAGCACATATGTTGTCAGGAGAGAGGTAAGAGCGTACTGAGAATGAAACTATTTGCGTAGAGAGAAGGGAAGAGAGATGGATAATTTTGGACACTCGACTGCAGCGCTCCCGCCATCATATATTAGCTTATTGCAGTTATCGCTGCATCAGAGACAGAACTGTTTGTTATTGTAAGCTACATACAGCAATCTTCCACGTGTATTCGTGGCGTCTCGTTCATACTCCAGTATCAGCCTACAAAACAGGTGTACTTGGAAGGATACACAACGTACCACGATATTGGTGTGCCGTGATAGGAAATACTTGTATTTATCCATGTAAGTGACATTGCTGTGAGTGTAGCGGGTCTATAAACCTTAGACTAACGCTTAGTCTCTGAATAATAGTTTAAATGGAAAAGTGACTAGTGAGATAGGAGATTCTGAGCCTGAGGAAAATGTAGGCTAGTCTCATTTATAAAGAGCTGGGCGGAAGGGAATATACTTGGGGTTCGGAGACTGTGAATGAGTGAGTGAATATGGGTTTTCGCCGCTTTTAGCAATATTCCAGCAACATCACGGCGGGGGACACCAGACATGGGCTTCACACATTGTTCCCATGTGGGGAATCGAACCCCGGTTTTCGGCGTGACGAGCGAACACATTAACCACATGGCTATCCCACCGCCCCTCGGAGATTGTGGGACAGACTACATAACCTGTATAATTATGTATATAAACTTGTAAAGTGATACTGATAACAGTGATTTGGGATGTAGATCGTATACATGGATGTAACATTGTTTGTAGATAAGATAAGATATTTATTGTATAGCATTCCATGAAGGAACAGTGCCAATATTCTACAAACTACAAATATAAACACAGTAGGTTCAAAGATAAAAAAATACACAGATACATTCCACATATAAATTATGTACATTATACCAATTTCACAAATCATATGTTGATGATTGCATGGAAACAATATGAGGCGACTATGGTAATACACAGAATACATTTAAAATTGTAAATATGATCACATATTTTGGAAACTGTATTTTGAGACTTGGAACACTCACAAGATCATTGTTCCCCTCCCCAACAGACAGTGCTTTGTGGGGGCGGTGGGGTAGCCTAGTGGTTAAAGCGTTGGCTCGTCACGCCGAAGACCCGGGTTCGATTCCCCACATGGGCACAATGTGTGAAGCCCATTTCTGGTGTCCCCCGCCGTGATATTGCTGGAATATTGCTAAAAGCGGCGTAAAACTAAACTCAGTCAGTCAGTCAGTGCCTTGTCCTGTTACGTGAACTGAGAACGTGAGATAGTAAACATGCGGTAATACGAAGGACATAGATCTATTCCAATATACTACTGACAGCGCTGAATGCGCGCAACACAATAATGGACTTCGATGCAGTAAATCCGATGAATGGAAGTGAATGAAACTAATTAGCTCTTTGGGTTGAAATAGTGCAAATTGCGGAGTATTAATGAGATTTCTGGTCACATTAAGTTAATGTTATATCATATTTTAATTCGTTGATACTAAGACATAGTATTAAACCTGAGATGATTCAAAGGAAAGTGTAAAACGTGGTTGACGTGGAGGCAGCGTGCTGCTTTAACTGCCCGGCCACCAAGTGCAGCTGTATTGTGTAAGCATGATTGGGGGTCGTGCCACTCCTCCCTGTAATACACTCGGCAGGGTCAGCTTCTAATGCTAAGTGTTTACATACGCCTAGATGGGGATGTAACGCTGTACTACATATTACGTTGATCTCGTGGTCACTGCTAAACCCCACATGTAGATTACGCTGAAGTATTTACACTCACATAGCTTCCCAACATAGATCAGGGATACTTATGGTTTTGGATATTATCGGGAATCTGACTGAGCTTCAGAAAAGTCAGAAAAAGTAAAATAAAACAGTGAAACAATATATTCTTCTAGCATCAACCATTTCTTTCATATAACATTACGGCTTTTATAAGTAACATTTAATACAGAAAAGAAATTATGAATTGTTGTGTTTGTGTGTTAATGTCCCACTATCTATAATCTATGATATGTCGTACTTTTTCTAGAAATCGACTTTAATTGCAGTCTTTTACCAGACATTGGGCTGGGTCGTTCGGAAAATCTCGGCTATAATCACGACATACACGCCCTCGGGCGATGCTCGTAGGTTCCGCATATGTAAACATGGTCACACAGGGAGGGTCTGATTGACTGGTTCCACTAACATTGCTTATCCCAGCAGATTTTGAGGTTAAGGGTTAGATAGGGAGGGGTCTGGGATATGAACCCTGAGAACAACCCTGGGGCGGCTGAGACTGTGTGGGAATACAGCACGAGGGGGGTCTTGTGTACATGGCTGGCTGGAAGGAAGCAGATACACCAATGCGCCCAACCTGATAGTCTGTCTCACAGTCCCTGGGCCGCATTATCTTCCATACTGCCTAGCCCTCACTGCAATGCTATAGCCCTAAATGAAGCAAGTCTAGATTTCTTCAGGTTCAGGAACTTCTGAATCTCACTGGGGCTTCTTTTCAATTTAACTGGGATTATTTGTTACTATCAAAATTATATATATTCAGAGACTAAGCGTTAGTCTACCAACCTGACAATTTGTAGACGAGCCATTACCCACATTTCAAATATAGAATCTTTAGAATGTGGACAAGTTGTCAGATAGAGAAAAAAGACCGAGGGGGACAAGACCTCAAACGTCAAACGTGAATCATTGATTGGTCCTTCTGTCAGACTCCAGACGTAGGGGAGCACTACTTAACGTTATGCCGTAACCTAATCATACAGACCCGGAAACAAATATGCCCAATACACTAGTAGTTTCACTGTTCTCTTCATCGGGCTTTGTATTTTTAATTTCATTTATCTATAATATAAATATTAATTGTTCTCGTCACGATATGTCTGAAATATTGCCGTTGTGACGATAAATATTCACTCACTCACTCACTCACTCACTCACAAGTATGCCCAATGCAGCCCATGCAAGTCTAGAATGTGTTGCACGTCTAGATTACCACAGTTTCTGAAATAAGGAAGTCTCTCGGGCCCTTTTTAGTCACTTTATTAACATAACTTATAATTTTTCTGTAAAATATGTTCATTTCAAAGACTAGATGTTAGACTAGCGGTTACCAAAAAGAAGAAAACTCTATCTCTGTTACTGAGCGTCCATATAGTTTACAGTTGACTTAGAGTGTTTATTCCACCTTTCGTCAAGATAGCTCACTATCTCAGAGAACGCGGTATCAATGAAAGCGACATTTTACATGCATGTTCCCACCATTGATGACACGGCAGACACATTATGAATTAGGTATATATATAGTTATGTTAGATTCATCACATATTTTGATCTTGTTTTAACATTTGATTTCACTATTCTCTTAAATTCTCACAAAAATTCCCACCTGAAACCACCAGACCGCTGAACTTTATGAAATGCATATATATGCAGAGTTGCTAATTATAGATGCTAAGATTGAGGTGAATACAGGCAGTCACTGAGTGAGTAAGTGAGTATCAGCAATATTCTAGCAATATCACGGCCTGGAAACACCAAAAATTGGCTTTACACAATGTACCCATTTGGTGATCTTCGGGGTGAAGAGCGAGCAGTTGAACTACTAGGCTACCTCAACACCCCAGTCACTGGGTGATAGAGTTTGGTTTACCGTGCTCTAAACTGGAAGCAACATCCTACGTCGGGGTATATCGACACACTAGCAGCCATGTTCCCCTAGTTAAGACCCATCCGGGTTAGAATTGGTATTCAGCAACCCATGCTTGTCGTAAGAGGCAACTAACGGGCTTTGGTGGTCAGGCTCGCTGACTTGGTTAACACATGTCATCGTATCCCACTTGTGTAGATCGATGCTTATATATCCTACGTCGGGGTATAACGACACACTAACAGCCACTGTTCCCCTAGCTAAGACCCATCTCGGTTAGAATTGGTCTTCAGCAACCCATGCTTGTCGTAAGAGGCAACTAACGGGCTTTGGTGGTCAGACTCGCTGACTTGGTTAACACATGTCATCGTATCCCAATTGTATGC